ACACCATCCCCAAGCAAATCAAAGGAGCCCTGTGTTCCCATTGAGCACAGTAGGAAAGAGGAGAAATGTATTCATCATATATTTAGAAAAAAAATATTTCTAAATAGAATATAATTCCTATATCCTATACTTCCTAGGAAATATTAGTGCTATAGTCTCAATTGTATTTTCGAACCCTATGATGAAGCAAAGGTACCAAGTTGTAAAATTAAATTTTACCATCTGACTGCTACAGTGTCTCAGTAAAATGATTTCGATTTATTTCTATCTCATCCTTTCAGGATGAGGCTCTTGGTGCTGCCTAATTTTGGTTTCCAAGCTTTTTAACATCGCTGAAACTGATATCTTTCTAGTCCCCTACTTTTTGCCAAGTGTCTTTAAGGATTATATTTCAACTCCCTTGTTATACAAATTAAGAAAATTGATTTTCAGACATTATGCAACATGCTCGAGGTTACACAGCAAGTGGGGGCAGAGCAAGGACTAGATGCCAGATCTCCTGATTCCTATTTCAGTCTCTTTCCACTCATAGGGGAAAACAGAGTACCTGGCTCTCTTGGACTTCTAAATACCAGGCATTTGTCTATGTCTGAATATTCTAAATAGCAGAATATCCTCAGACATGCTGTCTACTTATGCTGCAAGAGGCTGAATAAGAGGCATGGTCATATCATCCTAGATGAGTCCTTGCTCCTGGGGAAATGGCGCCACACAGAGCACACATACTGAACTCCATGCATGTCCCACAATTGTGGCATCTTTACATGTGACACCTGTGACACCTGTGATACATGTGAGTTGTGGCACCTGTGGCATGTATTCTGTGGTCTTCAAACAAGGGTCAGGAGCCTACCACAACTGTGCTTTCTTCAGGACTCGTCTTAAGACATCTAATAGCACTTCCTGACATGATTGCTGTTAAAAGGCAATATGCATTGCACATTCACCCAGGCTTCCCTTTCAAGCTTCTGGAATCAGCCCCATATGACTGCTGTCCTTTTACACACCAGAAGGAAACACGTGGGGACATTGGAATCCCAAGTATGACGTCTAGTATGTCAGCTGCTAAAAAGCAGGAGTCCTCACATATGGAACCACAGCATTAGTTAAACCACCTCACTCTAATCTGATACCAAACTGTGTTTTAGTCATGGCTCTTTTCTTTTTCACCATAACTATATTCATGCATTTTACTGTACTTTCTTCAAAGCACCATCATATGACTGGAGACAGAGCCCCTAACTTCTTCCTGCACCCAATTCATGGAACTAGATTTCTAGTACTTGAGTATTTAAAGTACTTTGGGTTTCTTAATGAACAGGTAACTGGCTTGGTCACTGATAGCAATGATCATCTTCAATGTCTCTTTGGGAAGAGTGACAAGTGAGACTAAATCTGCCTTTAGTAAGAATTGGGTCTTTCTAGAAATTTCGTATTACTGGAATCCCTGGCTTCCTCAAAGCTGAGTTTAATTTGTTGGATAAGGATCTCCTTTGCCAAGAAACAGATTGCCAGGAAATGTGAATTCGGTGCTGCCTTTACTCTGTAAACCCTGGCAAGTACTTAATGGAACCCCAGTTCCTGGTTTATGAAGTGGGAATAAAAATATGTACAAGCAGCAATAAATTAAATGGCTCTAGTGGAATTCCTGGGTAAAAGGAAAGACTACCTACATGGATATTTAGGAGTCTATTTTACTCAACCATGTGGAAAGGAAATCCCATATCTTATTGAGCTTAAAGCCTATACTCACTACACTCAGAGTACACATCTTGAATAGTCTTGTATCCAACAGCTGCTCACAATGACAATTTTCTATTGAGCCTTTTTTGAGGACAGCAGAGCTCTATTTTTAGAGAAGGGTACTAGCAGTTAGGGTAGCCTTTCAATCTCATAACCATTTGTTATGGTGAAGGCTACTGCCACCAATGGTCAGCACATGCACGATTCAAAGAAGTCAAGAGTTTTTTTGGAAATAGCCCCTTGGACATTAAATTCCCTGGTACAAAGCTTAAAGAAAAGTCTTTCTTGGCAGGCTGGCTGGCACAGACATCACACTTCCTTAAAAACAAACAAACAAACAAACTATGACCGTATCACCTTTGTGGCATAACCTGGAAGTTGTGTATGCGAGCCAAGTGGATCTTTGGTCTTTCCACAGGGCATGGGGACCTGACTCTTAAAGATTCATTGGCAGACCCTGTGCTGTTCCTGAATCTTATCAACTAACCTCATTTTTAGAAAATCTAACTTGGATGTTGAGTACAATGGCTCTGCCTATCAAGAAAGAAGCAGGCATCCAAATATCCAACATTGGTTGCCAGAACATCTTGAAAGATGTTCTGAGAAGCACAAAGTTGAAAATATGCATAACAACTTCTGGAGCCAAGGAGTCTCTTCAGAGGGAGCTTGAAGGAACCAAAAAGAGATATAATATACAGGACCTTGCAAGGGAGAGGGGAAGCAAGGGCTATTTCCTGCAAAAATAAAAAATCAGGGACCCAGAACACTCTAGAACCATCTCATCCAGCTACACCATTGGCTTTGGGGATAGGATACCGCCCTCAGATTGAATGAGTCGGTCTGAAACAAGCCTCGCACCAGTGAAAAAAGCCATTTCTAAGTGGACTCAAGGAAGCTCTTAAAACACCAGCCAAATCTATTGTAACTACTCCTTTTTTTAAATAGTGAAAAACAAAACATAACCACATATAGCATACTTATTTCCAATGATATTTTGTTCTAAAAATAAAAACTAAGAAAACACCATATGTTTTAACAGTAACGAATTCTTGAAAATCCTCAAATTTTCATCCCAAGGGTTGCCATTATTTTTTTTAACGAACTTCTTGAACCCCCTGGATGTTACTTAGTGGTGCCTAGTGACAACTGTCCATGTGTAGAATAAGCCACTATTCAAACACCTGGTTGTGTAATGGCTCTTCACAGACAAGGCTAGAAGGCTCAACAAATAGAGTTAAGAATATCTCTTCCAAATTACACATTCACCCAGGTTAGGGCTTTTCAAGCAAACCCCAAACCTCTCCTGCTTTGTTAGATCAACTCACTCCCATAATAACTACCCAAGGAATACAACCTTCTCCATGTCGAGTCAAAAGGAAGCCAAGCATGGGAGTCTTTGGTGACCCCAAGTTCACTCACTTGTCTTCTGCAAAACTTTTCCCAGTGATAATGTTCTTCCCTTGGGGTACATAGTCCCAGTATTCTTCCACAATCCCAAGGTGGTATGTTCTGGTAACTGCACCAACCAGCACGGACAGACCCAGGAATGGGATGAGAAGGATGCAGTCAGCCTGCTGCTTCCGAGGCATTTGTGGATATAATTCAGGCAAACAGTGTGTGCAGGAGGCAACTCTGCCTGTCCCTCCCCCTCACTCGGAGCTAGTTATAAATGAGAAATGGACAAGGCCCAGCTCCTCCTCCTCAAGTAGCTTAGGGTTGGGACAGAAGCTGACAATTCGTATAAGCAGAGCAAACTCGAAGGGGGAGTTACTATGATGACAAAACCTTTGCCAGCCACCCAAGAAATGTGTAACTGGCTTATTTGTTTACTGCCCAAGCCAAACAGGCATGTTTCTGTAAGTTTTGGTGCTCTGCTCTGACATTAGTCATTCATCATTACCAGGAATGGCAGTGCAACTAGTTGGGCGATAGGTTTCCCCGCCTTCTTCCTCTTTTTCTCTCCACACCTATTACAAGAACACATTAAAATCTGAAAACTGAGCTTGTCTGAATGGAGCACCAGGAAATATCTCAAGCACTAAAGAAGGCTTCATCTCTGTCAAGAGCTCAGAGGGAATGATGCAATCACCCTCCACCATCTCCAACTTGTTTTATAAGGCTACATGAAACAATCAACTCACATCATAAAGTTCATAACAACACTGTTAAACCTCACTAGTTCTCAATTTGCTCATGCACTATCTCCCCCAAATTCATATCCCACCAGCAAAAATTAGAAGCTCAATCACCTGGTTCAGCCAAAATTCTAGAGGCTATCACCCCTAAACAGTGAGCTGCCTTTCTAAGGATGAGTGAAAATAATACAGAAGGAGTACCCTTCAGGCACATGAAGACAAAGTTTATAGCAGCTCTTTGGGTTAAAAGGGTGAAAGGAGTACCCATTCTTCTGTGTGCTCAAATCTGTGACCTAGAATTTCAATGTTTAAAGATACCTTGTTCTGCTCTGGAAGAGAGCCAATCTGATCCCCATGCAGATTTGCTCTCAAGGCTGCAGACATGGAATGAAGGAGACAGTCTCCTGGCTGTGCTTTGAGGTTGGACAGACCTGTGTTTGATATCCAGTCACACTACTTACTAACTTAGTGGCACTGAAGAATCACTTGACCTCTCTAAGCCTGGGTCTGTAAAACAGGGATGGAGCCATTGTTAAGAAGATTTAAAGGATGACATAGGAGCAAATCTAGATGACCATGAGTTTAATGATTACTTTTTAGATACGACACCATGGACATAATATAAGAAAAAAATAATTGATAAGCTGGACTTCAAGAAAATAAAATAAAAAGTTCTGCTCTGTGAAAGACACTGCAAAGAGAATGAGAAGAAAAGTCCCAGACTAGGAGAAAATATTTGCAAAAGACACATCTGATAAAGGACTGTTATCCAAAACATACAAAGAACTCTTAAAACTCAACAATAAAGAAACACACAACTTGATTTAAAAATGGACAAAAGACCTCAACAGACACCTCATCAAAGAAGATAGCCAGAAAAGAAAAGATAGCCAGGTGGAAAATATGAAGAGATGCTCCACGTCAGATGTCATCAAGAAAATGCAGTTAAAACAGTGATGTGCTGCCACTACACACCTATGAGAGCAGTCCAAATCTGGAACACTGATGATACCAAATACTTTCGAGACTGTGGAACAGGAACTCTCTTTCACTGATGGTGGCAATGCAAAATAGTATAGCCACTTTGGAAGACAGTGGCAGTTTCTCAGAAAACTAAACATATAGCCCACATTAAATATTTTACAATTTTATTTGTCAATTATACTTTAAAAGAATTTAAAAAACTAAATATACTCTTACCATATGAAACAGCAATCATGCTCTTTGGTATTTACCCAAAGAACTTGAAAATTTATGTCTACACAAAAACCTGCACCCAGATGTTTATAGCAGCTTTATTCATAATTGATAAAACTTAGAAGCAAACAAAATGTCCTTCAGTTGGTTAATGAGTAAATAAACTGTCGTACATCCAGACAATGGAATATTATTCATCACTAAAAGGAAATGAGCTATCAAGCAATGAAAAGTCATGGAGGAACCTTAAATGCATATTACTGAGTAAAAGAAGCCAATCTGAAAATCTACAAACCCTACGACTACAACTAAATGACATGCTGGAAAAGACAAAACTCTGGAGATAGTAAAGAAGTCATTGGCTGTGGGGTAGCAGGGAGGCAGAGATGAAGAGGTAGAGCACAGAGGATTTTTAGGGCAGTGAAACTACTCTGTATACTACAATAGCAAGTACATGTCATTATACATTTGTTCGAATCTATAGAATATACAACACCAAGAGTGAACCCTAATGTAAGCTATGAACTCTGGGTGATAATGAAATGTCCATATAGGTTCATGAAATGTAACAACTGTACCACTGGGCTGGTGGATGTTGGTAATGGGGGAGGCCAAGCATGTGTGGGGGCAGAGTGTATGTGGGAAAACTCTATATTCTGCTCAGTATTGCTGTGAAGCTAAAACTGTCCTAAAATAATAAAGTCTACTTTTTAAAAAGATTTTAAAAATGATATCTAATATCAAAGTGCCTACCATAGCCCCAGCACAGAGGAGGGTTGCAATAAATGTTAAAGTCCTTCCCTGTCCTTACCCACTGAGAGAGACTGCCTCAGCTTAAGCGATGAGAGACCTGCATTCCCACCAGCACTCTTTTGCTTTCTTTCCCAGAGTTCCATCTACCATGACTCCCACCAGCCTCAAAAGTTATTCTTCTTTAAATTTTTGGATACTATATAGATGTATCTTAACATGAGTTTTGCATTAATGTTCATCTTAGCTAATAAAATACATGCTGAGTATACTGTTTCATAGCAAGGCTCTTAACATCTTTGATTTATCGATCTGAAATTATGTCAGGACATTTGTAGAGTAATTACCATAGCACATTTCCTTTTAACTCACATCTGCTCTTCAATATGAATTGGGACACTTTGTGTGAGTTTGTCACTTTAACAGCCACTAGAGAGGAAGGACTCACAGGGCAAACCTGGCCTCGAAAGAAGTAGGGCTTTAGGAGTTCTTGGAATTTGGAAGTGTCCTGGACCAAATTGTTTTTGTTTATACCCCAGAGAAGCAGACTATTTTGGGCTATAGGAGGGGATCCCCAAATGCCCCTCTAGCCTGTGCACCCCTGACAGCCCAGATAAAGCCCTAATCATTACAGAACCTTGAAACACCCAAACATGCCATTCTGCTTCATTCTTCCATTTTATGTCTCAACCCTTCACTCCCTCCATCCCTCATCTATACTTAATTCCTCCTCATCCTCTCAGGTCCTCCTAGGCAATTCCTCTCTGAAGCTGTCCTTGGTTCCTGCCACAGCCACCACACTTTCCTTCCTCTGTGCTTCCTCTGGACTTTGCAAACACACACTTATCCCTGTTCATATTATTGTTTGCTTACACATCAGTCTCCCATATGAGGCTCTAAACTCCTTGAGAACAGTGCCTAACTGACCAGCCCTCAGCACCTCCCTCTCACTCTGCACAAGGTCCCAGGGCTTTATTTAAAGAACGTTCAGCTCAGGGATTGCAGCTCCACGTGTCACCCCTGGGTCCCCAGTCTCTGGACTCTCACCCTTCCACCAGTCTCACCTGTGCTTATTTACTTTGGACCACCAACTCCCCTGGGATGGGGTTTGGGCCTCCCCCTCCCTTCCTTTCCTTCTGTCATTCATGCTTGCCTCAGCTCCAAGCTGAGGTCTAAGAGCTAGTCCTGCCTCACTCTCACACCCAGGTGCTCAGGCTACTTTTTGTCTGGACTGAGAGATTTAAAAGGCATCTCGTTCATCTCTGTATCCTCAGTGGTCAGCACAGGACCAGTGGTTAGAAGTAGGCACCGAAGAAAAAAAGCATATTAATAACTGTAGCATTTATAATATATCAGGCAGTGTACTAATTGTGTTATATACACTCTCTCTTACTTTTTGCAACCATAATACTCTATGAGGTGAATAGTTTTGTCCTTGTTTTGCAGATGGGAAATGAAGATTTTGGAAGGTTAATAACTTGCCCAAGGTCACAGAGCTAGAAAATAGCAGAGCCAGGATTCAGACCAGGTCTGTCTGATTTGGAAGCCTACACTTCAAACCACCACACTCAGTAGATATTAGTGGAGCTGTGTTAAATTGAAAGCCATAGCCAGGTCAGGAGACCTTTTCAAGAAAAGAAACATTGGCAATATACAAGAATTTTTTTTTTTTGAACAGGAACGTGACCTGAGAATTTAAAAGGAACAGAATGTTGAATGCACATGGGCAAACACTCCGCCAGATGAAAGTCCAGTGATGAAATCATTCATTCAACCACTTGAAAACATTTGCTGAGTATCTACCTTATTAACTGTTTTTGTCAACTGGAAATGAGACACACATGGTCCCTGCCCTCAAAGTGTTTATATTCTAGTGAGGGAAATAGATTGTAGGCAATAAACAAGTTTTAAAATATTATTTAAAGATATTAACTAAATATCATGATGAGTTCAATGAAGTTCAAGTTAAATCCAATGCCAGTGGTATTGGGAGAACATCAAGACCGCATCCAGGAGGTGGCAGGTGTTTGGGAAGGTGGCCTAGAAGCTTCTGAAGCATGCTTATATTTTACAGGGTGGAGTATAACATGGTGAAGTCCCATTCCTAGAAGTCCCACCCATTGCCATCATAAAAACAAACAAAACAAAACAAAATCAAGGTTAGTCTGAGAGACACTTTGATTGAGTTCTGTGAGTTAAGTTAATGGGCCACATCCCTGCCCAATAGGGACTTCCGCTTTCAGGGGTTCATTTGTTCCTCCATTGGGGAAGTGTCTCATAATGCTACATTCCTTCATGCATGAGGCAAACCCTGGTGCCAGAGACTCAAGAGAGCCAGCCTTCAATCACAGATCTAGTAAAAAGAGGAGCAGAAGAAATGGACTCCCCTCCTCTCTCTCCTCAAACTCTTCCATCTTCCCCTACTTCCACACAAACTAAGACAGGTCCTCCCTGAGCCTTGAGGCTTGTTTTGTAATGACCTAGGTTGTCACAGCTTTTGATTTTTCCTAGTGAAGAAAGCTCCATCACCCTTCATCATTAGTGACCAGAGAAGAAGTCTTAGAGAC